CCTTTCTGAGTGGAGTTTGAATGTTGTCCATGTGTCGGCGTAGGTTTCCTCCAGGTGCTCCGGTTTCCCCGACCACAAAAAACATGTACAATAGGTCTGGCGTGAGCCTCCTGTTTGGCGACCTCGTTCCCAACAATTGTAAAGCACTTTGTGACTCTGAGCGACGCTGGAAGAACAAGTCAAATCTCTTCAACTTTGGCGATGATAAGAAAATTATATATTGCTCTAATTATCTGCAGAATATTAAGAAATTGGCTGAAAATGCATCCATCATGAACAGATACAGATTGAGTATGAAGTTGTTGCATGGACAGATCTGACACTGACACATAAATTATAACCGTTTCCTTTCTTTTGTCAATTTTCTCTGTTTGTCGTGTTCTAGTATCAGTCCAGAACAAGATGGCAGCCGGATGCCTCCACTGACCTCCCCCTCCCCTCCCCCCGATCATCTCGGAGGTAATGACTCGCCCCGAAGGCCACGGCGCTCGTTAAAGCCGCTCTGGTCCGTCCACACAATCTGCATTTCCGAGGCTCATTTGCATATTTCACTGCCAAACTTCAGGCGTCTTCTTGCGACACATTCCAGCGGGCCCCGTGAACCCCTCTGCCCTGGAACCGTCTCCATTTCCCGTTTATGAGGGCCAGAGGGGACGTCTTATCAGCGGGACACACTTGCACTTATTCGGGCATTAAAGCAGCTATCAGTTTGAGATTAGTGGGATTTGATGCGGTCATAAAAACCATAAATGTTTATCTAATCGTCTACACGTGAGTCCTGTTGTGCAACGTTTATTATTTATCATTTTTCTTGTGATCTTAATGTTTGTTGTTAATCATGTTTTTTATGTTTGTGAGTTGTTTGATGTGATGTGGGTTGTGAGGCGCTTTGTGTTGCTTTGTGTAGGAAAGGCGCTATACAAATAAAACTTGATTGATTGATTGAAGAATAGTGAATTCTGTGTTTTGACTTCATAAAGTTGTTTCTTGAGGCTTTTAAAAGGGCACTTGTAAAACCACTTATTCAGAAACCCAACTTAGACTCGCTGATAATAAGTGATTAAAGACCTATTTCCAATCTTCCTTTTTTGGAAAAGATTCTAGAAAAAACTGTATATCAGCAAATATATACTTTCATGATGCAGAACAATCTTTTTTTGATGAATTTCATCCAAACGAGATTTAGTTAAAGTCGTAAATGACACACACCTGAATAACAGTGCTGGTTATGGTAGATCTTAGCGCTGCAGTCGATAATTTTGCTACGCCAGATATGAGTCTGCAAAAAATGGTATTTTCACAGGGCTCAGCAGAAAATCCATACGACAGCTGCAGCTGATTCAAAATGCAGCGGGAAGAGTCCTCACAAGAACAAAATATTGGATCATATCACATCAGTTTTACAATCTTTACACTGGCTCGGACTGAATGGACTGTGCAAGATATGTTTTTCCATATGAAAACGAGAAGGTCCTCAGGTCTGGGACCGGTTTACTGTGTGTCCCAAATGTCAGGCCCAAAGAGAGTGAGGCATCATTTAGTTTTATGCTCTTCGTCTGTGGGACACTCTTCCACATCAACTATTCCAACCACAGAGGCGTTTAAAACATCAGCATTTACATAAACCTGTGCTCTTTTTAAAAATGATTATCATACATCTTTTGTATACATAATTATGTGTGTATCAGTGGGGGCGGGTCCCGGCTCAAAAGTGGCCAAAATGACGTGCGCTGACATGCTTGCAATACCACCCCGGGCCGATGGGGGTGGACCCAGAAGTAGAATTAGCCAATGCTAACATATAGCATCTTCTTACCTCTCAAAAATGTCTTTACACAATGGACCAAAAGTTGGCTCTTGGCCCAAAGCTCCGTTCCACATGTGTGTCAATGCTGAGGGGGGTGTTCTGGTCCACTCTAGTTTACTTGCTGTGAATTTTTTAAGTCTCTCGTTCAAATGAATGGAGCTGCGCAGATGCGTTTTTTCACAATTTTCTTGTGGGCGGGACCTCTCGCGGCCATTTTGGATAGCTCCAGTAGAGCACTATTTTTGGCCCATTAGTCAGAACGGCGGAGATAGGCGTGAATACGTCCATTATCTTTTACAGTCTATGGTGTATATCTGTATAATGTATTGAGTACGTATACGCATATGTAAGTATTTTTGTATATTTCTCATTTTTATTTTTGCATATAAAATTATTCCTGTGTTTTGCTGTTTCCCAAGGTTCTCTCTGTGCCCGTAAAGAACCCTGGGTTACTTCTGTATGAATGGTGCTTTATAAATAAATTTGCTTTGCTTTGCTTCAGAGATTCAAACAGTTCGAACACAGAAAATGCAATAATCACAAACTCAAAGGAGCCATTAGAGAGCAGGAGGATCACTGTCCTTAGACCTGTATCAGCACGGAACAAGAAGAACTAAAACCCAGTGAGAAACCTCAGGTACTGTAAGCCCTCATGGAGAGAGGGATCTGCTCCCAGGCTGTGGATCCAGGACTGAGGCTGTAGATCCAGGACTGAGGCTGTAGATCCAGGACTGAGGCTGTAGATCCAGGACTGAGGCTGTAGATCCAGGACTGAGGCTGTAGATCCAGGACTGAGGCTGTAGATCCAGGACTGAGGCTGTGGATCCAGGACTGAGACCATGAGAATTAAGGAGTAAAATTAAATAAAAGACAAAAACTAGGGGGAGAATTTAAATCATATAAATACATTTTTCAAACAAGAAGTCTCTTTTCATTTCCTCCTTTCTTTTGAGACGTGTGTGTGTGCGTGCGTGCGTGCGTGTGTGCTTGTGTGTGTGTGTGTGTGGTGCTGTGTGTGTGTGGTGCTGTGTGTGTGTGTGTGTGTGTGCGTGCGTGTGTGTGGTGCGTGTGGTTTGCCGATTCCTTATGTCGACACTTTGTATGTGTTTTTGTTTCAACACTGCCACCACTTCCAAATCTATTGTCCAACGCTCTCACTCAGTTACTCAGACGACAGACATGTAAGCCTTTCTGTGGGGACAAGATGTGACAAGATGCACAACATGTGGTCTGCGTACGTAAGTATTTCAATCAAAACTTGGTGAATACTTCCCCATTGATTTCCCTGGCAGCTGCTGTACAATGGCCTTGGCTCAGGATCACACACACGCACACATGCACACACACACACACACACACACACACGCACACACGCACTTCTCATAGCAACATGGAACAGCCTATTCCAAAAATATTACGTTGTTGGCCGTACCTCTGTATTGCTCTAAAAACCAGGAATTCATTCAGGCTGGAGAACCTAACTCCTTTTTGAAAGACTCTGTAGTAATAAAATGCCGTGAACAAACCAGACCACAACATGCTGTCGTGTAGGAAAGAGCCCCGTGAGTCACTATTGGACTGCTTTGGGCTGAGAGCTGATTGGCTGAGAGAGGTTGGTTCTCTCTTCTTCACTTTTCCACCTTTAAAAGCAGATCTAAATATGTGACAGACGCCAGACAGGCACCAAAATGTTTAGAGAGCAAGGGACAAGATACATGGATTTTATTACAGATAGTTTTTTTTGTAGTTTGAAAGTTAGGTACCCCAGCTTTAAAGTGTCAATTGTCAGCTTTGTGAACTATAGTGTGCAAGGAAATATTTCTCTCAAGTCCAGTTTGGGCAAAAAAGTTTAAAAATATGATATAGTTCCTGGTCCTCTCTCTCTTCCTCCACTATCTCTGCTGCTCTCTCCCATACTGGAAAAATACCTTGAAAAAAGAACAACACAAAAAAGTAAATACTGCTTAAAATAAGACAAAAATAACAATAAAAATAATGCGAACTACAATTGATTGTATAAAAACATCCATTTCAAGCATTATTCACTTATTTATTAAAGATTTTTCAGAAACGTTTCTTAAAATATAGCATCACAGACGTATAGAAATAAAATACTTAAAACATGAATTTAAAGCTCACTGCTCAGACTTGTTAAGATTATTAAGTATTTTTATCTTAAAACTAGTAAAACAATCTTAAATGAAAAACTACATTCAAGTAAAAAAATAAAATAAAAAAATGCCATTAGAAAAATAAGCATCATTCATGTTATTTTCTAGTACATTATTATTAGACAAGGCAAAGCAAGTTTATTTGTATGACACAATTCATACACAAGGTAACTCAAAGTGCTGAACAGAATCATAAATAATCACAGAACATTAAGAAGAAAGATAAAAAATATAAAATCCCTCAGTTGTATGCAGCTAAACAGGACTGTTTTTAACCTGGTTTTAAACATTGTCAGAGAGGAGGCCTGTCTCACACTTTCAGGAAGACTGTTCCAGATTTTAGCAGCATTAATCTGAAAAGCAGCCTCCCCATGTTTAGTCCTGACTCTGGGCACTAACAGGAGTCCCGTTCCTGTCTGACCAAATCTTACCAATTTTTTACTTTTTCAGTGTATACAAACGCTCTTCTCTCTGCGGCGTTTCCAATCTGCCATCACAAACTTGGATCTGATCTCAGCAGCAGCAGCAGCAGCAGCAGCAGCAGCAGCAGCAGCAGCAGCAGCAGCAGCAGCAGCAGCAGCAGCAGCAGCAGCAGCAGCAGTAGCAGCAGGAGTAGCAGCAGCAGCAGCAGTAGCAGCAGGAGCAGCAGCAGCAGCAGCAGCAGCAGCAGCAGTAGCAGCAGTAGCAGCAGCAGCAGCAGCAGCAGCAGCAGCAGCAGCAGTAGCAGCAGGAGTAGCAGCAGCAGCAGCAGCAGCAGCAGCAGCAGGAGCAGCAGCAGCAGGACAGGAGAGGAGTGAAGGGAGGGAGGGAGGGGGAGGAGGCGCGCACACGGACACATCCAGTGGTGTGAAGTGCCATAATGTGGGCTGGCTCTGAAGAGACACTTAAAAGCAAGATTTCAGTCCGTGCGCGTCTCACCAGCAGCAGGAGCGCGCAGCAGACGCACATCAGAAACACACTCCACTCTAGTTGTTTTGTTTTACACATAGACTGTAAATATTAACGTCCTGGTGGATCCAGTCATGACGGCCGCCGCGGCTGGAGACAGGTTCGTGCGCCTGCCGCTCCTTCTGCTGCCCATCCTGGGACTCTGCGGAGCTCTGCCCGGTCACTGGCTCCCCGGGACGTACCCCAACACTGTGGCGGGAGTCCAGGCGTTTCTCGACGGCTACAACAGCACCGCAGAGGAGGTGCTTTACCACAGCGTGACCGCGTCCTGGAACTACAACACCAACTTGACAGCGCACAACTCGGAGCTACAGGTGAGAGTGTGAGGGGGTGAGGGAGGGAGGAGGGAGCTACAGGTGAGAGTGTGAGGGGGTGAGGGAGGGAGGAGGGAGCTACAGGTGAGAGTGTGAGGGGGTGAGGGAGGGAGGAGGGAGCTACAGGTGAGAGTGTGAGGGGGTGAGGGAGGGAGGAGGGAGCTACAGGTGAGAGTGTGAGGGGGTGAGGGAGGGAGGAGGGAGCTACAGGTGAGAGTGTGAGGGGGTGAGGGAGGGAGGAGGGAGCTACAGGTGAGAGTGTGAGGGGGTGAGGGAGGGAGGAGGGAGCTACAGGTGAGAGTGTGAGGGGGTGAGGGAGGGAGGAGGGAGCTACAGGTGAGAGTGTGAGGGGGTGAGGTAGGGAGAAGTCACAGGTTAGGGTGTAATGGGGAGAGTGTGAGGGGGTGATGGGGGGAGAAGCCACAGGTGACAGGGTGAGGTGGTGGATGACAGTGTGTGAGGTACAGATGAGAGGGTGAGGTGACTCTGTGTGGGGGTGATGGGGGGGAGTAGCGGGTGATGCCCAGGGTTAGGGTCGATGCCAAACGTCTCCGCTCTCTGCTGGACTCGGAGCCCACGGTTTCATTCATCCCTCTCCAGAACCGGGTCCCGCTCAGTGCAGGGCCCGCTCAGTGTGAGTGTGTGCGGATAGAAAACTGGTCCAAAAGCATGTGGCGACAAGTTTGGCCAATCAGAGCTTCCCTGACCGTCCACCGCGGGGGGGTTTTCATCCTCTGAGTACATCATGAATCCAAATCCAAATTCCCAAATTACGTGTTTGTGACAGATTCTAAATACAGTAAATAAATATGGCAATCGCACTTGCTCAGACTTTTCCAGTTCAAAAGTCAATTCTGAAGGTTTTGCTTTGCTTTGTTTATATGATATATGAAAGGGAAGTCTGGGTGTCTCGGCTTAGACTGCTGCCCCCGCGACCCGGCAACGGATGAAGCGGAAGAAAATGGATGAATGGATGGATGTTTATACGTTATACACTTATATACAACTATAGCAACTGAAGATTATTTTTGATTAGTTGTTTAGAAAGCACATGTGACGTTTATCTACATTTGATGCTGAGACAGTTTTAAAGTAGCAATATGTAAGATGTTTATGTCAAGTCAGCATTAAAGGGCCCTAATCGGTCCAAATGCTCTTTTCCAATATTTTAACAGATCACAGTAGTTCAGAGATATTTGAATTTCTAAATTACTTTTTCAGCCCCTGAATGTGGTTATGGTTTTAATTTCGATGTCCCGCCCTCCACCGTTTGACCAATCAGAAAGTCTGTGATCCGGGTTGCCAGAACTCACCACGTGGAGCTAATCTCACTGGTAAATTTACCATGTGGCCACAAAACTAAAAAAGTCTTGTTATGATTCTCAAATCATTAGATTTGTTGTTGACAAAATTCTTCATTCAGATATTATGGTCCCAGCTGGATTCGTCTGCATATCTGGCAACCTTAGTCAGAGCGAGTGCAGTACCACTTTTGGCCAGATTTTCGCATACTCCTTCTTTAAGCTTTTCATTTCCAGACAAAACTCTTGGGACAGAATTTGTTGTAGTAATTACTTCTCTTTTTGAGTCTAAAAATCCCGCACTTGTGTTGGAGTCTGTAAATAGAGAAGTTGGCAGTTATTGAAAAAACTCAATTAGTCGATGAAGAGGCACAAGACTGAGGTCGCAAGGCGGGTTGGAGGCCGACATTCGTCCCACAGTCTGGAAAGCTCTATTCCTCAATGAGAAATATGGAAATTCCAAATGTGTAAGATGGATTTTAGCTCTTCCAAACTTTGGGGCAGCGTTGACTTTGGGGAGTCCTCAGCTCCCAGACTCCACCTCGGCTTCACTGCGGAGCTCACACTGTTGTTTTCGTCTTTTGCTTTTCCTCTCGCTCCTTGTTTCATGTTTGTTAAATTTGAAAGAAAGGATGACACCCGCACACTGTCCAAACTTGCAAACACCAGTGGTTTATTAGCAACGTTTCGGCCACAGGCCTTCCTCAGGCAAAATTTACAAATAGAGGTTGGGAGCCATCTTAAATAGGGAGGGGCTGACAACGCCCCTGGATGTAATCAACTATACCAGATGACCAAAAAACTTTCACAAAACGTCAAAAAAACTCAAAAGGTGGAAATCACCAATATATACATATATACATGATGCATGAAGAAAAACATATGGAAGCAGACATACAGGACAGCTGATCAAGAAATGGCTGTCCTAATACATACATTCCTACATGTATTCTAAAATGTGTATTCTTACAATGTGACACACGGCAGTCTATTTACAAAAAGACATTCAAGACAAGCTCATCGTTCAGGCCTTTTGGTGTGAGGGTTTGCAGTTTGTGTATCCAAAAAGCCTCTCTCTGTTTGAGAAGCTTATCATGGTTACCCCCCCTCACAGGAAGAGGAACATGCTCTATCCCATAGAAACGAAGGGCACTCACATCATGATTAGCATCATTAAAATGTACAGCTACAGGATATTCCCTGTCATTCCTGCGGATAGAACTTTTATGTTCACTTATTCTTTGTTTTAATTTTCTTGTGGTTTTGCCTACATAGGCCAAACCACAAGGACAACGCAGTAAATAGATGACATGAGTGGATGCACATGTTATAATGCTTTTGATGGGTATACTCTTACCACTGTGCGGGTGTAGAAAAAAGCTGGTTTTGTGAGTGTTATTGCACTGGGCACAACCACCACAACGATAGTTCCCATTAGGAATCGGCGTCAGGAGGGTCTGAGTGGATGGCGCTAGGGTGGTGAAACTGGCCCGGACAAGGTGGTCTCTAAGGTTCTTGCCCCTCCTGTTCACAAAAAGGGGAGGGAACTTGAAGATAGTGGCCAGTTCAGGATCCGATGTGAGTATGTGCCAGTGTTTTCTGAACATAGTTTTAATGGTTGCAGAGTGGGGAGAATACTGGGAGATACAAAGGGGGCGCTATCTGCATCCAAGACGTTAACAAATACAGACAGGAGATTTTATCTCAGCTGTCGGATGCCCGTGTCTATAAAAAACTTGAGCATGACCCCACGGTGCCCTTTCAGAAACAACTATTTGCATACCTCCAACAAGCAAAGTCTCAGAAATGGATTACTGAACAAGAATCTGATTTTCTCTACAATAAACATCCCATCTCCAGTTATATATTCGCTCCCTAAAATACATAAATCCTTGACCAATCCACCTGGGCGGCCCATTGTAGCACAGAATGACTCATTATGGTCTCCTCTTTCAACTTATGTGGACCACTTTATAAAACCATTAGTCCACAACCTTCCTGCCTATATAAGAGATTCTACAGACTTTCTAGAAAAGTGCTCCGACCTTAAAGATATACCTGTTAATGCCTTATTGCTGACATTGGACATCACTAGCCTCTATACCAACATTCCCCATGAAGGGGGTTTAGAGGCCATAAATTACTATCTACAGCAGAACAGCAGCAGTACAAGGCCTCCTGACCAAATCATCTTGGACTTTACTGAGTTTGTCATGAAATATAACTATTTCCGTTTTGAAAAGACATTCTATCTACAAATATCTGGGACAAGCATGGGCACCATTTGTGCCCCTAACTACGCCAATTTGTTTGTTGGTTTCTTTGAAAATAAATTTGTATTCAACAATGAAAAAAATCCATTTGCTCATAAAATTCTAAAATGGCTCAGATATATTGATGATGTGTTTTGTGTCTTCAATGGTACTTCCCAAGAACTGACGGATTTTGTCAAATTACTTAATAGCTGGATACCAAGTTTGATCTTTACTCCACAGTATAGTACTGTACAAGTCAGTTTCTTAGATATGGTAGTGCTTAAATCCAATGGCACCATAATAACATCACTTTACAGGAAGGAGACGGACAGAAACACTTTGATGTTGGCCTCAAGTTTTCATCCTACCCCTCTTAAAAAGAGTTTACCAATCAGTCAATTTTACAGACTCAGACGGATATGTCACTCTGAGGAGGACTTCGTTGAACAGGCCAGAGACATGAAAAACAGGTTCAAACAAAGAGGATATCCCACTACATGGATAGAAAATGCTTATGAACTGGCTTTAAAAAAAACACGAGCAGAATTTTTAAAAAAAACTGTTAAAAAGAAAAAGCAATTTTCTATCACTTGTATCTCCCAGTATTCTCCCCACTCTGCAACCATTAAAACTATGTTCAGAAAACACTGGCACATACTCACATCGGATCCTGAACTGGCCACTATCTTCAAGTTCCCTCCCCTTTTTGTGAACAGGAGGGGCAAGAACCTTAGAGACCACCTTGTCCGGGCCAGTTTCACCACCCTAGCGCCATCCACTCAGACCCTCCTGACGCCGATTCCTAATGGGAACTATCGTTGTGGTGGTTGTGCCCAGTGCAATAACACTCACAAAACCAGCTTTTTTCTACACCCGCACAGTGGTAAGAGTATACCCATCAAAAGCATTATAACATGTGCATCCACTCATGTCATCTATTTACTGCGTTGTCCTTGTGGTTTGGCCTATGTAGGCAAAACCACAAGAAAATTAAAACAAAGAATAAGTGAACATAAAAGTTCTATCCGCAGGAATGACAGGGAATATCCTGTAGCTGTACATTTTAATGATGCTAATCATGATGTGAGTGCCCTTCGTTTCTATGGGATAGAGCATGTTCCTCTTCCTGTGAGGGGGGGTAACCATGATAAGCTTCTCAAACAGAGAGAGGCTTTTTGGATACACAAACTGCAAACCCTCACACCAAAAGGCCTGAACGATGAGCTTGTCTTGAATGTCTTTTTGTAAATAGACTGCCGTGTGTCACATTGTAAGAATACACATTTTAGAATACATGTAGGAATGTATGTATTAGGACAGCCATTTCTTGATCAGCTGTCCTGTATGTCTGCTTCCATATGTTTTTCTTCATGCATCATGTATATATGTATATATTGGTGATTTCCACCTTTTGAGTTTTTTTGACGTTTTGTGAAAGTTTTTT